TATTTCAAGTAGCATTTCTTGAGTACCTAGTATATGCCAGTGGTAGTGCTCCAAAATTGAGTAGTAAATGACCAAACACAACTACATCTTCTAGAATCTTAACAATAATTTAGATATTGCTTTCAAATTCAATTATTATATCTGCCTTCTTATGGTCTTCCCAGAAGCTTACCCTGTGACTGATTCAGATATCAGTAGTTAACTGGGAAGTATTTCCTAAAACTCCAGCAGGGAGATGTGGAAGGGAGCAGAAAAGGAAAAGAGGGCCATGGAAGTGCACTACTAAGCCAAACGGAGCTCAATCCTAATGGCAAATTCTAGGGTAAGGTGCAAGACATATCTCAGATCTTAGCTTGGAACTGAGGAAGTAGAGGTGCTTATCCATCAGCATGTTGTCCATCACTGGTTGGGGACTAACACTGGTTACATGAACTCTCCAGCAACTTTCAGTTTGCCAAGCTTGCTTTTAGTTTGCTCTTGAGGCTGGAAAAACTGATCACAAGTAGAAAAGTCACAGACGTTCCCACTAAGCAGCCTTTGAATGTAGATGTAAATGTGGTAGACACATGAGTAGGGGTTTGTTTGCTACAGGATAGTTACAGAATGGAACCTGAAAATTTTAATAATGAGTGAAATGAAAGATGAATATTTGAAGAGGTAGAACTAAAAGTAGAGATATGAAGTCATCTAATAATTCTAAATTATAATGATGTGGTTCAAGATGTTCTAATTCTTTCCTCAATCACATTTTAATGAAGACTACTATGCTAAAACCATTTTGATGCAATTTTATAGATATATGACTTAATTATTTGATGAATATAATTTCTATAGGGCCCTTTGTATGTATATTTCCTTTTGGTAGAACTAATGTCACAAAGGGCCTGTGGGGAAAAATCAAAGTTCTATTCTAATTGAACAGAATGAAAGGGGATTTTTCTTAATCAAATTCCATTTGTGGAATTTAACAGGTAGTGATGAATTACTATTATGTAGCAAGTAATCTGGAATTTGCTATTTATATATATTCAATTAAGCATGCATATTGCATGATTCTGGCAGTTGGCTAAATCCACTCTAGTTAGTGACTGGAAGTTGGTATAGTCAAAAGCCAAAGAGGGCAAATGCTACTTGAATTCTAGTTACCCCATCTTCCAAATAATCATCATTATTTTAAATGTGTTAGGTAGCACTGTGCTATTGTAGATAAGATTTACAAGGGTTTTTATCTTTGAGAAAATATGAGAATAATTGCAACAGAACAAAACATAAAGAGAAACTTTGAATTACCTCCAAACAAGATATTAAGCAGAACATTAATATACTTGTAAGCATTTTTTCTTTGTAAGTATTTTGGTTTTCCAATGAATAAAATTGCAAGGTCCTCAACACCACCAAGCTTTGCCACCACGATAGCTTGTAACCTAAGCCATTTCTCAACCTTGAAGTGGGATGTTGGAAAGAAGTCTACACTCACTCACTGGCAAACAATAATATTGGGGTGTAAAGTTGGACCTCAAAAACTGAAACTGAGAAGGTGTCACAGACCTTTGTAACCAGTGATGGCTAATTTTATATGTCAACTTAGAGGATGTTTGGAACAAAATCAACATTCTAAATCAGTAAACACGGGATAAAGCAAATTGCCCTCCATAATATGGGTGGGCCTTATTCAATCAATTAAACAAAAAGACTAGCCTCCCCAAACAGGAGGGAATTCTCCAATAGTTTGCCTTCAGACTATCTGCACCAAGTGTTCTCTTGGGTCTAGAGCTTGCCAGCCCCTTTGGTAGATTTTGTACTCAACAACCTCTCTAATTTGCAGAAGACAATTTTTTTGAAAAACTTGTTTTTACACACATGAACATTCTATTGGTTCTATTTCTTTTGGGAGTCCCAACACAGACCCCCTGCCAAATAACCACATTTAGGCATGAAAAATCTCCAAACACCAAGACCTACTGTGTTAACTTATTTAATTTGGGGCATCTTCTGAGATCTGAACTTGATTGATTTCAAAGATACATTTCTAAAGATGACTGTCTAGTAACAGTAACTAATATTTTTGAAAACTCAGCTATGCTATCTCATTTAACCTTACTCAAAACCCTCTAAGTAATGTAGTAATATAATGCCTGTATTAGTATTTCTAAGATTGCAGCAAGGATTCTGGGATCAGACAGAGTTCACTTTGTGCTAATTAGTTAACTTCTCAAAGCAGAAGTTTCCTCCACTGTAACAAAGATAACTTTCTTCTTTTATGCTTCTATAAGAATTAAATATGATACAAAACATGTGAGCATTTTGACCCATACCAGGCCCAATTAAAGTATTTACTATGCTGCTGCAACTACTATTAGACACATTAGGTACCTACCCAGATAATAAGCTGGAGAGCAAAGATTCTTTTTGTAATCTCAGTGTGATATATGATTCTAAGAATAACTTTCATCAACTTCATTTGTTTATTGTCTCTAGACAGCTTATATTTCTCAAAAATTTCTATATACACCCAAATGCTGGATCTGAAAAGGTTTCCTACAGAAGGTGGCATATTGCTAACACACTTCAAGATAGAGACTTGAAAGATATAAAAAGGATTTGACATCTGGCATGGTGACTCAATTAATTACTGTGTTGGATTAATTAGTGTGCTGAATCTCCTGAGCCAACACCATGAGGTTGAGCAGAGTAACATCACATTGGTTGGCGAATAAGCAATTTAAGAGTGTGCTAATCCAAATTTTATTCAAGGTTGAGTAAGAAAGGGTTTATGGTGTGTGTGTGTGTGTGTGTATTTATAATGAAATATATCTTCATGATACAATTACAGCAGTAATAAAGTTGTAGAAGTCTTTGAGTTAATTGCTCAAGTAGGCCAAGTATTGTAAGCAATATCTTCCCCAAAGTAAAAAAAAATTTCTGACTCCATACTTTCTCTAGATTTTTTTCTGATAAATTTAGAAGTCACCTAAAGCTATCTCTGATAGCTTTATCATTCTCCAATCATGCTGCAGATGTTATAGTGAGGAGGTAGTATAGCATAGTCTCTTAAAATTGTAGATTCTGGATCAAAAGTCAGAGCTTTCATTTTATCATCTGTAAAATATGTTAAATTAGACCTAAATTTGTAGGTTTGCTTGGAGGATTAAATGAGCTAATCTATTTCAATTCTCCATACAGTGTCTATAAATGCTTAAGGGTGCAGCATATATTAGCGAATTGTTGTAGAGTGGTGACAGTAGTAACAATAATAATACTAGTAGGTTTCAATGGCATGAAATTATAGTATATGCTATAAGAGAATGTTATTTTAAAAAGAAAACAAAATTTAAAGTATATTTTAGTGAAGCAGCTAAGTTTTATACTAAAGATGTATATTATGTATATTTAAGTAAATAATTATTTAAACCCTAAGACAAAAGAAACAAACAGGTATTAAGAATTGTTTTTATACACAATCATTAAATACCACTGATTTTTAATATTTCAAAGAGTCTTTAAACTCTTCAAGTATTATCAAAAATTCTGGTAACTTCATATCTACAAATTGACTCCTTTAAAGTATTTAACTATAGCATAAACAACTTTAACATGGTATATGAGTATTAAAACAAAAAATGGTGACATTTAGGAAATTACTTCAATGAAAAATTAAACTTTCACAACTAGGCTTATTTCCCATACATCACAATTTAGCATCTGGTAAGAATGTCATAAAATTAGACTACTATATATCCACACAGATAATGATATATGGGTTAATCAAATACTGTATTTTTTTTGTATAGCAAACAGGAAAATGTCCATCATCTCTAGGATCAACTATAATAGCTACTTCAGTGACAGTACACCTTGGAGGAAATATAAATTACTAAAGTTTTGTTGGTATCTGATATACAGTGATAAATAAATATCTTGCTGTACTGAATGTTCTTCAAGCACAACTAGAGCACAAATAGAAAACCCCAGATAAAGTGAGTTTAAAATGGCACTTAACCTCTTATGTTTACACAGGCTCCCTTTTGTGTTTGTTACCACTCATCTACTTGAGAAATAAGTATAATTAATATTTTACTCTGAAAGGAATCAACAGAACAGTCCATCAATGCAATGCAATCAGATTAGACATGTAGTGTTTCTGAGGCCACATATCAAACCCTTTTTGAAGCAGTTGCACTGGACCACTGAAAATAAACTTCCCAGATTATGAAATATCTAGTCTGGATTATACAGTTCACTTGTGTTTGCTCCTTAAATACATGTGCAATCTCCAATCTCACTTGTTTATAGATACATACATAGATTTAGGAAGTAAGAAACGTACTCATAGAATCACACATTTTGTTGAAAAGTTTGGTGACACAAATATTTCCTATGTATTCCAATCATTAATTTGAGTTGAACCAATAAACTCTGTGATATTAAATGGCACTGAATAAACAGAGATCTGCATATATCAGTTTTCCTCGTGTAATAAAGCAAAGAAGGAATTGTTTTCACATATTAAACTGAAGAAGGAATGCAATGTGGCTGAATCAAGTGCATTTGTCAAAACCCCTAGTAGCTTCTATGTCCCCACAGCATATATCAAATCATTTAACAGCTATGAGACTTCCTATATAAATGACATTTAGAGAGAAAGATTTTCACTAGATGGAAAAAAAGAAGTACACACACACACACACACACAAATTCTGGATATCCTAAGGAATATGAAACAGTTTTCTTCCCAATTTTATCACTTTGTTCAAGCAATATGACTTAAATAGACAAAAGAGTACCACCAAAAAAATTCCCATTCTTTTGTTTTTTTTTGCTTTTTTTCTTGACAGGCAGAGTGGACAGTGAGAGAGAGAGACAGAGAGAGAAAGGTCTTCCTTTGCCGCTGGTTCACCCTCCAATGGCCGCCGCTGCAGCCGGCGCACCGCGCTGATCCTGGCAGGAGCCAGGATCCAGGTGCTTTTCCTGGTCTCCCATGGGGTGCAGGGCCCAAGCACCTGGGCCATCCTCCACTGCACTCCCTGGCCATAGCAGAGAGCTGGCCTGGAAGAGGGGCAACCGGGACAGAATCCGGCGCCCCAACCGGGACTAGAACCCGGTGTGCCGGCGCCGCAAGGTGGAGGATTAGCCTATTGAGCCACGGCGCCGGCTCAAAATTCCCATTCTAATCTCTGAATCTTTATTGTTGTTACATTATGTGGCAAATGGAAATTAAATAAGCAAACAAAAGTACAGGTGGTTATCAGCTCAACTTAAAATAGAAAAACTAGCTTGTATTACCAAGTGAACGCAATGTAATCATAAACATCTTAAATGCAGAAGAAAGAGGCTGAGAGTCAGAATTAGAATGTGGATGGGAGATAGGCTGCTGCTATCTTTCAAGATGGTAGAGCCATGAGCCACGAGGACTGGGACAGCTCTGAGTAGCTGAGAAGGGAGGAAAACAGGTTCTCACCTAGATCCTCCAAAAGAGAAATGCAATCCTGCAGACACCTCGATTTTAGCCCAGTGAGACCCATTTTGGACTTCCAACCTTCAACGCTACAAGATAATAAATCTTGTTTAAAGCCACAAAACTTGTGGTGATTGGGTTTAGCAGCAACAGGAAACTAATACACCCAATTAAGTAATGAAGTTCGAAACTACTCATCTCCCCTGTACTTTTTCAAACACCTAATTAATACATTTATCCACCTGATTTTACCAAGTTATAGACTTTGTGATCTCAGAACTTTTACAAAACAGCTGGCAATAAAAATTACAAGACTAATCATTCATCCTTGCTCTTAAAGGTACAAACATTATTACCAAGGAATAATTAAGTTGTTTATTTCTTGTTCTTAATGTAAACCTGTAAAGTATGACAATTAATTTGTGTCACCTTAAAAATAAAGGCAATTGTACATATTATTAAATGTGAACAGTGTTAGTCTGGCTAAGCAGATAAAGCAATAACCTTATAAATTACCTTAGTTTCCAACCATTAACTATGAATAACCTGTTTCCCTCTAAATTCTCCATATATTACCGTCAGAGACAATACACTTGGAAAATTTCCAAGTGTTGCATTCTATAAAAAAGTGAAAACAAACTGTTATTTTAGTGATTTCAAATAGAAGCAAGCAGAGATCATTTCTAAGCATGGCAAAAGACTGAGTCAACCATCTCAGACCATGAACATACCAATGAATTATTATTCAAGTCCATCTTCCCAGCGAATGGTCCCCAGGTTGTCCCCACTGGAAGTTGCTGCCGACTCTGAATTTTTCTTTCCCCATCTTTCTGAAACACTTCCAGTTCTCCTGCAAACAAGGAAAACAGAAGTTCTTAGAATACTTTCAAATAAATAGCTACCTCTTGTTGTGTGTTTCCTTTAAACACACACTTTTCTCAGGACTTTAATAGAGAATTAATTAGCTTGTCTGAAAAATAATTGATCTTGTTACCCTGAGAGGAAAATAGAAATGTGTCCGCACAATTATCTATGGAAGTCAATTTCCTTAGTAAATCTTGAAAAACCAGAAAGGATGCACTTCCTCAAAAAGCACTGATTGTGTGCCAGAATGGATAGAAAACACATATTAGAACAATCATTAAAGGTTGAATTCTCACATTTATTCATGACACTAGAACAATATCTAGAACATCTTTGAAAGTACTTTGATAATTTTCTGAAATTATTACTAGTTTCAGAGTGTAAATCACCTACATGCTTAACTTTTAGATTTTCCAAATAAAAATGTTTAGACAAAATTGTTACTTTTTTTTCCTTTTAGTTGTTTTTATAGGATTCCACATTTCCAAAATGGTTTGGACAAAAACACTGAGGAAATAGCTTAGGACAGTCTTATTCCTTTTTTTTTTAAAAAAAGGAAAAATAGTCATTATTTATTTATTTTAGAGGCAGAGAGAGACAGAGAAAGGGAGATGCCCACAATGGCTGGTTCAGGACCAAGACAGGATCCAGGAACATGTGGGTGGTAGAAGCCCAACTACTTGAGCCATCATCTGCTATTTCTGAGTCTGCATTAGCAAGGATTTGGAGTTGAGTTGGATAGCAAGCTGACGTGGGGTGCAGCCATCTTAACTGATAGGGTAAATGCCCCACATCCTCTTCCCTTCATTTCCTCCACAGTAATATTTTAAGTCATTTAAGAGAAACAGAAAGTAAAGACAATGGACACATTAAAGCAGGAAATCATTGAAGCCTTGCTTAAGAAATAAGTGGGCGTGGTCATTTGGTGTAGTGGTTAAGATGTCACCTGAGACACACACTTCCAATATTGGAATGACTGGGTTTACAGTCCTGGCTACGCTTTTGATGCCAGCACCTTGGGAGACAGCAGGTGACAGCCCAAGTAACTGAGTCCCTGACATGCATGTGGGATACCTATATTGAGTTCCTGGTCCCTGGCTTTGGCCTGTTGCAGCTGAGGCAGCTGCAGGCATTTCGGGAGTGAACCAGTGGATAGAAGATTTCTGTCTCTGTCTCTCTACCTATCCAATAAAATGAAAATAAAGAGAGAAAAACATAGACTTTATTGAATAATTACATTTGTAATGATGTGTAAGGTATATGACAGGCAACATATTATGAAACTGTTGCTTAATTTGGCCTAAGTTTCTTAAGTTAATAACTATCTTTAAATCTGGAGATTCAATCATGATCTTTTTATATTTCCTAAAATTTTTATTAATTATTTTTTAATTTTAAGTCAGAGCAACAGAGAAAGGGACAGAGATCTTCCATCTTCTTATTTTCACTTCTCTACATTTATGTCACCTCCACTTAAAAGCTAAAATATTAGACATTCCTTTTCATGTTTCTATTACCACTTATTCTGAAAAACAAAATCAACTGTATAAAGCATAATCAGCTAAAACATTTTACAATGTTTAAAAACTGTCTATTATGGAGTATATATCTATCTGAATCTGATCAACAAAGATGCAATATTCATAAAAATTCCATGTTCGTGGTCAAAACTTTAAATTCAAGGATTATGCTTTCTTTCTCCTTTCTTTGCACATTATCCCTATCATCTCAAGAACTTGAAATATACAAGGAAGAATTCATTAAATTAAGACAAACACATATTCCTCATTTTTTCTTTAACTGTATTAGTTACTGAAGATGAACCTATGAAAATGTACCTAGAATTATTTAATATGTAACAGATGGTTTTATAAACAGATGACTTAATAGTAAATAACATATTAGTGCTTAGGTATCACACTCTCAAGCTAATTCAGAATGTACAGATTGTGGAACTATCAACATTCATTTCTGAGTTTTTTTTATGAAAATGTCTTTCATCTTTGTACAATCTTTTTATTACTACATGGGAATCAGGCCTTGCATAGAAACATCTTCAAAGACATAACATAGCTAACAAATCTATTGCAATATCCAAAATAAATCTGTGAGAAAATGCCTCTCAGTGTATATATTTTCATATGTGGTGATGCAATTATTTAATTCTTAGGATTTCTTTTACCTGAAGATAAACTGTTTAATTTCTGTTGGATAAGAGTTTTCAGTATGTTCCAATCATATTGATATGTCACAGTTTATGATTTGATAGAAATTAGGAAAAAATATTTCAATCCCTCAGTTAAACACCTATAATTTTCTACATAAATATGATGTATATGTAATTTGCTTGATTTTACATACTAAAACAGTCATGTCACATTTTATTAAAAGATACAAGAGGAATCATGAAAATCTCTGAATCCCTTTTTAAAAAGTAATTCATTCTTTTGCCATCGACATAGTTCATTTGAAAAGAGTTTGGACTCAAACAGTGACCCCTTATCTATACCTGTGGATTTACACACAGGTCCATCAAAATGGGTTAAGAACTACAAACTTAGGGTAAATCATAAAATGATATTAAAATATGTCAAAAATTTCTGAAGTGTCTTTCAATATGCATTAAAATTTTAAGCTGATCAAGAATACTTTTATGGGCTCTTAAAGAAGGCCACAACAAAACCAGTAATTGTTTAGGGTGTCATGTCCAGTATTTTTCAGTTTTATCTGACAAACAGGAAAACTCCAGTGCTCTTTCCTGCTTATCAAAATCTATTTCAATATTTGGAAAAACCTTTTCTGCTGCTGAAGTAGTTAAAAAAATCAGTTATTCACAACACTGTTTACAGAAAACCACAAATATAGTGCAAATAATTACCAGTTACATACTACCAAGGCTACAGAGGTCAATGACAGGAACAGAAATCAAATATTGAATAAATTAAATGAATATTTAACTTTCATGTTGTGTATATTTTAAATGCTTTCAATGATCAATAAATCTTATGAAATAGAAGAAACATTATTGCACTAAACATAAGTATATTAGTTTTTAGCCTTAATTCTGTCTGATAACCAGCAGAAATGGTCTTGAATAAGTTATATATTTCCTAAGTCTTTGTTTAGTCCTTGCTTAAACAGGGATTTTTAATCAGCTGTCATGTAGTCAGGTATTTTCTAACTAACAATCCATGATACCACAATTTTCTTTCCCCTGATGTGATATATTATCAGAGGTAGAAAGGGTTTATAGATCAAAGACCCGAGTCCTATAACTAACTTATCATAAAATGAATGTTCAACCTGAAAATATTAGAGAGTCTGAAATAAAAGGACCAAGCTCAATTTATATTTGATGTGTTTATTCATTACTTATGCCTCCATTCATTCATTTATTCATTTATTCCACAAATATTTATTTGTTATCTACTAAGTATGAGAAACTGAGTTTAGCCTAAGCCTAAAGCAACAAACAAAACAAGTCTGAACCTTGGTAATTGTAAGGCATCGAATCCATATGATTTGGGAAGTAAAAGGTAGAGAACTCAGTGCTTGTCTGGATTTTCGGGGTTACAGAAGGGAAAATGCAAGAATGAGATTTAGCTTGGGAATCCAGACCAATAGCCATGTATCTACTGAAAGAGGAGACACAGGGGAAAAAACGATTTACAAGTGAGGTGAGGAATTATAGTTTGGAAATTTTGACAAAGTCAAAGAACAAGCGGTGAGTTTAGGTTACTAGGTACAGACATGGGGCTTGAGTAGAGTGATAAATTTTGACATTTCTTCGGTAATTCAAAATAGTCTGGATTAGTAATATAAGCCACAGGATTGTTGATCTAGGGAAGTGCATGATGGCAAAATAAGACCTAGGACAAAGTTGTGAGGGTCCTCAAAAAGCAGAGTGATGGAGGAACAGGCACAGAAACTTAGCAGAAGTGGCAGGCCAGAGTCATAAAAATTGGTTACAGCACAGAAGCCAAGGGATCAATTGAGAATTTGAAAGACAAGTGATCAATCAAGGACTCTGAAAGTTTATGAAAGAACATAATAGAAAGATTTCTTGTAATGAGATATTCACAGGAATCTGGAGTCAAAGGAATCTGTAAAATTAAAGGCCATAAAACAGGCTGGAATATGTCCAAAATTGAATGAGAGCAGAAAAACCAAAGCCATGTGATCTTGAATAAGTTACTTAATTATTTCAAATTCAGTTTCTTCACACGTAATAGAAATCACAGTATTTTTCTCAAATGATGCTGTGAGTATTAATTCAAAGAATATATGCAAAGTACCTATAAATATTTACTACTTCACCAAAAAAGAAAGTGAAACATCCCACAAGGACATGCACATGCATTCTTCATCACACCCAATTGTTTACTGACCACTATCTGTGATCATTTTTTCCTTCTTTGTCACCTTCTTATCCAAATCATTCCCCACATATTAATTTACACTGATTTATCTTCCTTTCCAATATCACTTAATTAGTATTTAGCATTTCCCCAGTTTTTATCAACTCAGATCTAGATGACCAACTACACTCACATCACTCTCCATCACCAAATCAAACTACAAATCTCTGCCAATATAAACTTACTAAGACTCCACTTTAATCATGCCATACATTTTGAAAGTTCCTTCACATAATCCTTTTGGCATCAAAAATTGAAAATCTTTGCCTGAAATTTAATCCCATCCTAATGTTACTCCAGTGTCTATTGCTCTCCCCATTGCGTTCTCCCCTCCAATCAGAAAATATCTTCTCAACATTCATTTTTCTTTTCAGCTCTCACACCTTTCTGAGAATTGTTCTTGCTATTTGGCAGACATGTTCCTCCTGCCTATCTTAATACTC